ACTGTGGACAGGGCTGGCCTGTCCTCCCCCAAGCCCTGTACGCTGTCATGCCCGAGCCCCAGGACCCACTGCCCACTCTCCCCTCTTCTCCACCAACTGCTGCCCGACCTGCCGCCCACGACGATGGCCGGGGAGAGCCGCTGAGTGCACCCAGCACGCGGGGCCAGCCGCTGTCGGGCATCGTGTCCGAGCAGTGCGTCCGGGCACTCAGCACTGGGAAGCACACGGTCAGCGTGACTGTGCCACAGTGGAGGCCACTTGCCACTATGCCGTTACTGCAGCCGTCACTCTCACAGGCGTGAGGACTCTGCTGAGCACCCACAGGAGCCGGCGCTCGTACCTCCACTAAGAAGCTCCTCGATCTTGCCCAGGTGGGATTGCTCCGCGGGCCGCACGAAGGTCAAGACGATGCCAGGGTTGTTGGCGCGCGCCGTCCTGCAAGGGAGGACAGCTGAGCCTAGGTCTCCAGCCCTCAGGCCCTGTCTTAGGCCCACTACTGGTGCCCGCCCCCAAACTCCCTGCTCCCCTACCTGCCAGCTCGATGGACATAGGCCTCAGGGGTAGGGGGGAGGTCAAAGTTGAGCACAGCAGACACGTGGTGGAAGTCTATGCCCCGGGCCACGCCTGCCTCCTGGTCCGAGGCCCTGCAGAGAAGGTGCACCGTCAGCATCAGCCAGACCCCTCCTCTGCTCCAGGCACCGACACTCGCCTCCACCAGCAAAGCTTCCTCCAAACGGGGTCTGAGCCCAAGGGATCCTGCTACATGCGAGATTCTTCAACATCAGAATGGTCCCAGGCGCTGGGTTTTGTGGGTAGACTTGGACCTTTTGTGGGCTAACCTGACTGTATTGTCCAGACCTCAGCTGTGGGCGATGGCAGCTATCAGGACCGTGTGGCGTGCTCTGAGGACTAGCTGTGGGCCCAGTGGTCAGGTGGACAGAGCTGGGCAGTCCTCAGGGCCGTGTGGTGTGCTCTGAGGACTAGCTGTGGGCCCAGTGGTCAGGTGGACAGAGCTGGGTAGCTCTCAGGGCCATGTGGTGTGCTCTGAGGACTAGCTGTGGGCCCAGTGGTCAGGTGGACAGAGCTGGGCAGCCCTCAGGGCCGTGTGGCGTGCTCTGAAGACTAGCTGTGGGCCCAGTGGTCAGGTGGACAGAGCTGGGCAGTCCTCGGGGCTGTGTGGTGTGCTCTGAGGACTAGCTGTGGGCCCAGTGGTCAGGTGGACAGAGGCTGGGGCTTCGTTTTCCTCTCATAAAACAGGCTCCCAGGGCCAGCGCTGTGGACTAACAGGGAGAGTCGCCACCTACAGCGCCGGCATCCCACATGGGCAGCAGTTAGAGCCCCTGTTGCTCCACTTCTGAGCCAGCTCCCTTCCCTGCACCTGGGAAGACAGTGGAGGATGGCCCAAGTGCTTGGGGCACTGCGCCCATGTGGAGACCCGATGAAGTTCCTGGCTTCAGCCTGGCCCAGTCCTGCCTGTTGAGGCCATTCTGGGAATGCAACAGCAGATGAAGATCTCTCTTTCTACCTCTGCCTCTCTCTAACTCTGAATTTCAAATAATTAAGTATTTAAAAAAAAAAAAGGGAGGGAGGGAGGGAAAACCCGCGCTCCCTCCAAGTCACAGCCACAGGCCTCCTGCAGGACCACATGCTACCCGTCATGCTGCCCATGGTGGTGCCCTTCACAGCCCTCTCTGTACCCGGGAAGCTGAGCAAGGGCCTACAGGGCTCCCTGTGGCTTGTCCTGAGCAGGCCTAGATCGCCTGGTTCCCAGCTCTGGGCGCCCTGGTTTGTCTTCCAAACAGCCGAAAAATCAGACCCCCTTCAGAAGAGCTGAGAAAAGGAGAAACATGGACTTACTTGTCCCCTCTGGGCCCTCGGCCCCGGTGCTTGGCCTTGGCCGGGGCCCCCAGGACTTGGGTATCAGTGGCTATGACGCAGTCGTAGAAGCCCTGGTTGAACTGGGAGATGATGTGGCACCTGGAATGAAGAGGGGGCAGTCGGCCCACAGAGCACGGGCAGGCCTGTTCCTCCCAGCGTCGGGGGAGTCGGCCCACGGAGCACGGGCAGGCCCGTTCCTCCCAGCGTCGGGGGAGTCGGCCCACGGAGCACGGGCAGGCCCGCTCCTCCCAGCATCGGGGGAGTCGGCCCACGGAGCACGGGCAGGCCCGCTCCTCCCAGCATCGGGGGAGTCAGCCCCACGGAGCATGGGCAGGCCCACTCCTCCCAGCATCGGGGGAGTCGGCCCACGGAGCACAGGCAGGCCCACTCCTCCCAGCATCGGGGGAGTCGGCCCATGGCAGGCCCACTCCTCCCAGCATCGGCAGCCATTGCCCTTCCCAACTTGTGCCTTCTCTTAATCCCTCTCCCTTCCTAATCTTTGTGTCTCCACTTCCTCAGGTGACAGTGGACAAGGGCTAGGTATTTCAGCACTGTACAAAGTCGCTATTGGGGCCGGTGCTGTGGTGTAGCAGGTAAAGCCATTGCCTGCAGTGCCGGCACCCCATGTGGGCACAGGTTTGAGTCCCGCTGCTCCACTTCCAGTCCAGCTCTCTGCTATGGCCTGGGAAAGCAGCACAGGATGGCCCAAGCGACTGGCTCCTGGTTTCAGACTGGTGCAGCTCCAGCTGTTTGCGATCATTTTGGGGGATGAACCAGTGGATGGTACATCTCTCTCTCTCTCTCTCTCTCTCTCTCTGCCTCTGCCTCTCTGTAACTCTGCTTTTCAAATAAATAAATAAATCTTAAAAAAAAAAAAAAAAAAAGCCACTCCATCAAGCCTAGAAGCTGGCCCCTACTGAGCGCTTCAGGAACAGAAACAGCAGCTGGGAGCCCTCTGCCCCCCCCCCCCCCCCGTTTTTTTTGGGGCACCCCCCCCGGGTTTTTTTGGGGGCCCCCCGGGGTGTTTTCCCCCCCCCCCCCCCCCCTTGTTTTCGGGGTTTTCCTGCGCGCCCCCCCCCCGGTTTTCCTGCCCCCCCCCCCCCCGGCTCTGTCCGGGCACGCGGCCGGGGCACACCTGGAGCGCAGCGGGAGCTCGCCATTGAGCACGCAGGAGGGGATGCCGAACTGCTCCAGGAAGAGGCGCAGGCGGTAGCTCCGCTCCAGAGTGTTGACGAAGAGCAGGCACTTGCCGCGCACCAAGGACAGCTTGAGCAGGGCGTAGAGCAGCAGGAACTTGTCTTCCTCCGCCTCGCAGACCACCTGGAACTGCTGCAGCTGCTCCGGCCCTGGCAGCTGGGACTCCTGGAGCTTGAGGGTGACCTGGGAAGAGCACAGGCCCGCGGTCAGCAAAGACAGAGAAGACGGACGTCGCCGGCCGCTGGCTCGCCGACCACAGCACCACCACGTCCTGGCAGGGCGGGAATCTCTGAGGGTTCCCGGCTCCCTAAGTCCCTGCTGCCCTGCTGTGGCACACAGAGCGTGACCCACACACAACACAAGTGGGCCACGGAGCAGACACACACGGACGAGCAACCACAGCAGGGGGGCCTAGAGCCACAGGCCTTCGGCGGGCAAAGCTTACGACGTGACATGAGCACCTGGCCCGAGAACTCTAACTGCCACCCTGCGGAGCTGCTGCCAAGGTTTGGGGCAAAGCCTGACTTAACCCAGTGATGCCCGCTGGGGACAACTGTCTAGTGACTACCTTTCAGCGCCTCAGACTCAAAAGGAGACATCCTGTGACAAGACCCCACCCAGAGCTCCTCTGGGGAGGGGCACCGAGTCCTCCGAGCCCCCGTGCCCGCAGCGCGGCCGCTCCCGAGGCCCCCTTACCGGGTTATGCAGTACCAGCTCCTTCAGCGCCTGCACGTCCTCGTTGAAAGTAGCCGACATGAGAAAGGCCTGGTAAATCCGGGGCAAGTGACTGAAACAAACCGGAGCCCGTCAGACCGCAGCGCCCAGGGCGGCCGAGCGCCCGCACGGCCACTGCAGACCCGAGTCGCGACTCACGCAGCCTTCTGCGGGCAGCCACTCCCTCTTCCTCACCACAGCAGGCTCTTGATCTCGTCCTCGAAGCCGAAGGAGAACAGGAGGTCAGCTTCGTCCACCACCAGCAGCTCCAGGGAGTCCCGCAGCTGCAGGTTCTGCTGCTGCAGGTGGCTCAACACGCGAGACGGGGTCCCGACCACCACGTCTGGCTTCTCCATCAGCACGGCTCTGCAGGGAGCTGACGTCAGCACGGGGGGGGGGGCCGCTGGACCAGCCCTCGATCCGGCTGCCCACACACCCAACACCGCCCGCTCCCCCCCATTCCCTCTGCCCCTCCCCCCACCTCTGGGAGGCCGAGTCTTCCGCAGCTGAGACATTGGCCACCCGCACGTCCCGAGCGCAGTAGCGGGCCAGCTGTTGAATCATGGTCTGGGCCTGTCGTGCCAGCTCCTTGGTAGGGACGAGGACGAGGCCTCTCACAGCCTGTTCCAGCACAGCACCTGTCTGTAAACACATGAACTGAGGACCTGCCAGAGCACGGGGGGCGTCAGCTCTCCGGGGCTCGCCTCTCTCCCGCCCCCGGCCGCCGGCCGCGCTACCCACCGCCTTTCTGTGGAGCAGGAGCTGCAGCATCGGGATGGCGTAGGCGGCGGTCTTCCCCGAGCCCGTGCGGGCGCGGGCCAGGAGGTCCTTCCCCTCCAGGGCCAGCGGGATGGCCTTCTCCTGGATCAGCGTAGGTCGCGACCAGCCCAGATCGGTGACGGCCTACGAAGACGAGCGGCGCGATTCAGGCGGCGCGCTCCGCGGAGCACGGATGCTGTGCCCCGCAGCCCGCCCCAGCAATCCCCGGTACCTGCAGGAGCCGGGGATCCAGGCCCATATGTTCGAAGCCCAGCGAATCTGGGTCCGCCATGGCGCTGCCGGCACTCACGGCGCTGTCGCGCGTAAGGCGCGGACGCACACTACAGCAGCAACCAATCAGAGCCGGAAGAGCCTTCGCTCCCCGGAAGTGCTGGCGCCTGCGCTTCCGGTGTTCCGGCGGGGAACTGCGGCTGCTCGGCGCTCGGGCCCGTGCGAGCGTGGGAGAGGCCGCCGCAGCTCCGGCCCTGCTTCCCCGCTCCCTGGGGCAGAGCCGCCTTGGCAGAGGCGGGGCCCCTGGGAGGGGCTTGGCAGAAGGAGCAGCGCAGGTGCAGGGTCGCAGCCGCCGAGGTGGGGAAAGGCGGTTGTCCTTGGCCGTCCCCCGCACGGCGAGGTCCCGGTCTGAGAAGCGCTGACGTCAGGCTGTGGCCGGGGAGGCCGTGTCGGACTTCCGGCCCCAGGGCTGTTAGGATAACTAGTGGGTACAGAGCGGTGGGCAGCTCATGCAGGTGGGGTCCGTGGGGGCTCGCCGCCGCTGGCTCGGAAGGTGAAGGAATGGGTCTCAGGTCCAGCAGGGATCCCGCATATCCCCTGTCGCAGGCCTGGTGACCACGTGAGGCCCACCCAAGGGACCCAGGGGACGCCCATTGCATAGCCACCTGGGGCACCGCCAGCGACCCCCGCACCCCACGCGGGCGCCAGTTCTGCCCCAGCTACTCCACCTCTGACCCAGCTCCCTGCTAATTCTCCTGGGAAAGCAGCGGGACACGGCCCAAGTCATGCACCCACGTGGGAGGCCCGGGTGGAGTTCCAGGCTAATGGCTGGACCCTGTGGCCTTCGGGGAGAGCACAGCAGATGGAAGCGCTCCCCCTCCCCCTCCCCCTCCCCCTCTCCTCCTCCCTCCCTGTACCACCTTACCGAACATAGTCAGAGGTTTCAGGAGTTAGGATATGGACATACTGGGATGTGGGGGGAGCTCCCACGGCGAAACCTGCAGACTGCACCTGACCCTCTAACCCTGCGACAACACAGTAGGTCACGAACCACAGGTTGAGTGAGGCCGGGGGCAGTGACGGACACTCAGTCCCAGCTAAGAGCTGGGGAATCAGGCTACAAAAATAGGGGGTGTTGGGGCTGGCGCTGTGGCACAGCAGGGAAAGCTGCTGGCTGCGGTGCCAGCATCGCCTATGGGCGCTGCTCTGCTTCCGTCCAGCTCTGCTCGACCTGGAGGGTAGTGGAAGATGGCCCAAGTCCGTGGCTGCTGCAGCCACGAGGGAGACCTGGAAGAAGCTCCTGGCTCCTGGCTTCAGGTTAGCCCAACTCTACTGTGTGACCATCTGGGGAGTGGACCGGCGGATGGGGCACCTCTCTCTCTCTCTGTGACTCCTTTCAAATAAATAATAATAATAAAGGATGTTAAGAATGGGTGCCCTGGGGCCAGCGCTGTGGCATAGCCAGTAAAGCCACTGCCTGAAGCCAGCATCCCATATGGGCGCTGGTTCGAGTCCTGACTGCTCCACTTCCCAGCCATTTCTCTGCTGTGGCCTAGGAAAGCAGTGGAGGATGGCCCAAGTGCTTGGACCCCTGCACCCATGTGGGAGACCTGGAAGAAGCTCCTGGCTCCAGAGCAGCCCATCTCTGGCCATTGCAGCCATTTAGGGAGTGAATTCATGGATGAAAGACCTTTCTCTCTGTCTCTCCCTCTCAAATAAATAAATAAACCTTTTTTTTTTTTTATCACAAAGTAGGATTTATTTAGGTTGGAAACCTCCTACCAGAGCAATACATTAAAAAAAAAAAAAAAAAAAGGTGCCCTCTCCCCTTCCCCCACACTGTGGTGAGGAGGGAGAAGGTTGGTGAGGATGCTGTAAACTCTCAGAAAGCAGAATTTCGTAGTGGAATCAAGGGGATTATTGGTGAGGGAGAGAACTGCCACCCAGTTCTTTGGATGTAGCTGAACTGGCCACAATGTATCACTCCCACAGCTACCAGCTGCTGGCCTGTGCTCTGGCCACCCCAGTTCCGCGGACCCCATCAGTGTAAAGGTGTACTCTACTAACTACCAAAAACGAGCAAGGAGAAACCCAGGACGCACCCGGCCGTGAGTACTGCCGGGCAAAGCATCCAAGCCCGGCCCGGCCCTGCTGGCAGCCTCCTGTGTCCTCGCAGCCCGGGATCCAGCCTCCGCCTCGTGGCTACAGTTCCACTAACAGCCACAGAGCAGAAACGTGTCCCCTCCCAGGTCACACACACCCCGCATCAAACTAGCTCAAAGAACATCTGAATTTCCCTGTGTCCACCCTAACATGAAGAAAACTGGAAAGCAAACATCTGAGGAATTTGGACTGTCACATGAAAATCCAAAATTAGAAAAATAACGAAGAATTTGGTTCTGTATTTCAGATAAATTTAATACTTGAAATATGTAATAAAATTATGAAATAAAATGTCAAGAGTGGGCCACAGGTAGTGAGTTTATAGAGCACAGGGTGTGAGGGAGCAGCTGAGATCTGCTTTGCTCTGAGAAGTCTCACTGATGTGTTGTCTGCTTGCCTGGCCTTTGTTACGATTTGAGCAACCACTGTCCACTCCCACACCCCCTGGAGACTGGCCCAGGGTCCAGACCAAGCCCTGGCACCGAGGCCACACCCAGGGCCAACCAGGTCACTGGCAGACGTGATTCAAGCCAGGAACCTTTCCTCTTTCCCTTTCTGCCCCCCCCCCCCCGCCCACAGCCTTATTTCACCTCAAACACAGCTACTGTAGCACATTTTATTTCACTGGGAAAATCTGTATGAGGAACCAAATCTGGTTCTCTTGAGAAAACATTGACCACAGCTTAAATAAAAGTTAGAGGACGAGGGAAGGTCAGAGTGCTGCCCCTGCCCGTGCCTCCCGTGGCATGGGAGTCACAGGTGTGGAACAGACTGGCTCTGATGTGGCCTTGGGGACAGCGGGAGCATCTGTCTTGTGGCCGAGGGACTGCGGGACCCCGCGAGTTGGCTGGAAGTCAGCAGAGTGTGAATAAACACAACGCACGACTGTGTGGGCGTCTCAGCTAGGTGTGGGCGGGGGCTCTCAACTAGGAAGGAAAATAGATAATTTATCAAAAAATAGTTCTAATATATAGAAAAACATCTAAATCCTCTGGGGCCGAGACCTGCCCCTTATTTACATTCACAAAGCCTTGAGGGAACCCAGGACGGACAGGATGCAGAGGGGCGAGGCCCACCCCCGGGGCGTGCCAGGCACCCCTGGGCTAGCGACGGAGAGACAGCAGAATGGAAGGAGAGACTTTTTCATTTGCTCATCTCGTGTGGGACGGGGGGGTCGCTGGAGGCACAAGAAGCAAGACTTAGTCCTGGGTTAGTTCTGACTCCTCACGGGCCTGGGAGACTTTTGAAAGCTTGGACCGGGTCCTGTGTCCTTGAGAACCCGGGGTAACAGTGGCTGATCCGAAGGGTTTGTGGCCATGGAACCAACATGACTTACATTCTTTTTCCTTTCTTTTCCCTTCAAAGTCCAGGTGGATGAGGGATTGGAGGAGGGCACACGGAGGGCGGGCGCTACACCAGCTTCTTGGCCTCAAAGAAGCCCTTGAGGTGGCGCATCTGCCAGATGCCGGTGAGGATGAGGATGACGGTCTGGGCGATGGACCACCACAGGACCCTCTGGTTGGTGCTCTCGCTGGTCAGGCGGAAGCGCTCCTCCCGATACTGTGCAGGGCAACAGACACGCGTCAGGGGCGCAGGGGGCGCATCCCGGGCTGCTGGGGCCTCTCCACTCCAGCACCTGTTTGATCCCACCCGGGTGCCAGTCTCCCCACTCAGAGTGCCCGTGGAAGGAACAGTGTTGACTCTCCACAGGCACCTTGGAAAGGGCTGAAACCACAATCCTACTCTTTCAAGTGAGAGTGCGAGGGAAGCCAGTGGGCAGTGACCACCAGCCGACGTGAGCTGTCCTCTCTTGGCTGTTCCACAGAACTCAAAAACGCCCTGAGATTTCTGCGTCCCGTATCAGCGCGCCCGGGTTCGAGTCCCAGCCCTGCTCCCTGTTCCAGCTTCCTGCCAATGTGCACCCTGGGAGGCAGCAGGCGACGGCTCGCATGGTTGGGTCCCTGCCACCCCATGGGAGACCTGAACTGAGTTCCTAGCTCCTGGCTTTGGTACGGCCTGGCTCTGGCAGGGGTAGGCATTTGGGGAATGAACCAGCACGTAGGAGATCTGTCCCTCTGCCTTTTAAGGAATTAAAAAAGAAAAGAAAAACTATCTAAAGCAAAATAGGGTCTCTGCATCTGGGAGACTATCAGCCTTAAAGGGAAATTCTGAGCACGCCGCCATGGGGCTGCATCTCGGGGCTCTGCTCAGTGTGAGCATGGAACACCGCTCGCACGGCTCAGGGTCACAGCAGCAGTGGGTGGGGGTGCTCACCGGGTGTACACCCTCCGCCAGGAAGACGGAGGAAGGTGGGCTACCGCGAATGTACGCAGTACCGCAGGACTACACACCTAGGCCAAACGGCAACCCTTCCCTTTCATGACTTTCACAAGATTTCAAAGGTGGGCAGAAACAGCTACTGACTGGGGAAGGAGGGCCCACGCAGACGGTGCTCCGGGGGTGCGAGGGTCGCTGCCCTCCCCAAGGCCGGGCAGGTGTGAGGGTCACTGCCCTCCCCAAGGCCCCGCGGGTGTGAGGGTCGCCGCCCTCCCCAAGGCCAGGCAGGTGTTAGGGTGGCCGCCCTCCCCAAGGCCGGGCGGGTGTGAGGGTCGCCGCCCTCCCCGAGGCCGGGCGGGTGTGAGGGTCGCCGCTCTCCCCAAGGCCCCGCGGGTGTGAGGGTCGCTGCCCTCCCCAAGGCCCGGCAGGTGTTAGGGTCGCCGCCCTCCCCAAGGCCGGGCAGGTGTGAGGGTCACCGCTCTCCCCAAGGCCGGGCGGGTGTGAGGGTCGCCGCCCTCCCCAAGGCCAGGCAGGTGTGAGGGTCGCCGCCCTCCCCGAGGCCGGGCAGGAGGGAGGGTCGCCGCCCTCCCCAAGGCCCGGCAGGTGTTAGGGTCGCCGCCCTCCCCAAGGCCGGGCGGGTGTGAGGGTCGCCGCCCTCCCCAAGGCCGGGCGGGTGTGAGGGTCGCCGCCCTCCCCAAGGCCCCGCGGGTGTGAGGGTCGCCGCTCTCCCCGAGGCCGGGCGGGTGTGAGGGTCGCCGCCCTCCCCAAGGCCAGGCAGGTGTGAGGGTCGCCGCCCTCCCCGAGGCCGGGCAGGTGTGAGGGTCGCCAGGCCGGGCAGGTGTGAGGGTCGCCGCCCTCCCCGAGGCCGGGCAGGAGGGAGGGTCGCCGCCCTCCCCAAGGCCAGGCCGGGCGGGTGCGAGGGTCGCCGCCCTCCCCGAGGCCGGGCAGGTGCGAGGGTCGCCGCCCTCCCCAGGCCCGCCGCCCCTCACCCTCTGGTAGTCCTGCTCTTTCTGGATCTGCTCCACCTGGTCCAGCAGCTGGCGCGCCCGCAGCTGCAGCTCCGTCAGCTTGTCCTTGGCGGCGATCTCGGGGTAGTTGTTGGCGTGCTCCCCGACCTGGATGTCCAGGTGCACGCGCTGCGGGAAAGACCAGCGTCGGAGCCCACTCCCGGCCCCGCCTGCGGGCAGCAGGCAACACCCGTGCCCCCAGCGCTGGCTGTGCTCGGATCCACGCGCGGAGGCCGGTGAGGTGCCCGGCGCGGCCCAGGGCAGAGTGCCTACCAGCTTGCCGCCGGCGAAGAAGGCCATCCTGGTGGAGTTGGAGTGCAGGCAGATCTGGTGGTCGCCGGGCGTGTGCGAGGTGAAGGTGAAGCGGCCCTCGGAGCCGTACTGCCGGGACAGCACCACCTGCGACGGCGACAGGGCCCAGGCTCGCGCGACCTCGCCGGGCGCCAGGCGGCGGCGCGCGCTCCCGGGGCCGGCTGGGGGCCGCCAGCCTTACCTTCCCGTCGGGGTCCTTCACCTCCACGTGCATGCCGAGCCCGGGGGTCGAGGGCAGGAAGACCTCCTTCTGCTTGTCCCACATCTGGGTCCGATAGTTGCCTGCAGAGCAGACACACAGTCACGGCCCGGCCCCCGCGCGTCCTCGGGGCGCCCTCGGGCCGGCTTTAGGGTCGGGGGCGACGGGCCAGCCGAGCTCAGAATGGGGGGGCGCCGCTGAGGGCCGGGCAGGGACAAAGAGCCTCTCCACCCTCAGCCCGGCTGACCGATGACCATGGTCTCGTCAGGGATCTCCTCGATGAAGCAGCGCTTCTCGGTCTCGCCGATGTGGAAGTAGAGCCCCCGAGCGCCCACGACGCACAGCGCGAGCAGCACAAGCGCCGGCGGGCCCATGCCCGGCAGCCGCCAGACCCCGACACCTGCCATGGAGCTTCACCCGCGCGCATGCGTGCGCCGCACACCTCTCTGCGCTTGCGCGTCGCCCTGGCGACAGGGGGGGCGGCAGGGCCGGGTGTGAGCCTGCGCAGTGACTCGGCCTCGCCGGGGTTCGCCCCGCCCCGCGTCGTTCTGCGCCTGCGCATTCTCCAACTGCACCCCCTACGCCGCCCGGGCAGTGCGGGCCGCAGGGCTCCGCAGTGACCGCGGAGCGGGCGGCGTGCAGGCTTGCGGGTCTCCCGGCCTCGGGAGACGTGCTTTCGAGCGCGCCTTGTGCCTGATGCGGGGTGGGGGGGTCAACGTGGACCCGTTTGCCGCCGCCCGTCCCCCAGCGGCGGCGACTTCGCCTTTCTGCTGTCACCTCTCCGGTTTTTTTTTCCCCCTTGAAAATCGTAGCAAATCATATTTCACACCGTTAGTGTGTGAGATAAGGACCTAAAAATACCGTTATCACGCCTATGGACGGAGATAGCGTCACCGCGTTCTTCGAGTTCAGCTTCACCCAACTGCCCCAAAGCCGTCTTACTCAGATTCGTCAGGGTCCAAGCAAAGAACGCTTACTGTGTATTTCGCTAATACACTCGTTTAACACAGAACAGTTCCCTTTCCTGTGTGGCTGTCGTTCGTGCCATGTGTTGAACAAACGACCAAGCGTGCACGCCCTGGGCTTCGCTGGTCGTATCTGCATGGGTCTCGTGTACGCAGGCAGTTGGTCACTTCAGGAACCCGGTGCGTGAGGCCAGACGGAAGCAGGAGGACAAACCCGAGCTTACGGAGCTCGCGATTCGCTGGACGACCTAGCAGACAGAGGCTGGACAGGACAGTGGGTCCTGTGCAGGAAGGGAGTTACAGGTTGAAGCTAGACAAAGATGGCTTGCGGTAACCTTGCTCCACCTGAGCGGTCTAGGAAACACTTCACATTCCAGGTATTAGATAATGGACATTCCGGGGTCCAGTGTGGCCAGACGAGCCCAGCAGGTTGTTGGCTCCACCACAGAGCAGGTGACTGTCAGGGTCACTTGAAGGGCAAGATGGTGGGTCGTCCAAAACAGCTGCAGTCGTGCCTGAATCCCTACAGCCCCAGCTGCACAGACCCCTGGACTAACCCCATGTGTGTAAATTTGTATTTTTTCAGGCTCCACAAACCTAGATCCACCCCTGGCAAGGGGTTTAATTTTAACCTGGCTGGTGCTCTGTCCATCTGTCACGCTGCATCAGGAAGCACAGTGTGGCTGTCTCTCGCTTGGCAAGGTTGGACCTCATCTCTCGGCGCAGGGGTTAGCATCCCCACCGCTGCATCACGGGTTTACCACCAGTCTGTCTGCTGACGGTCTAGCGACCAGTGATCACCGTTAGCTCAGTGGTTCCCAGCAGGAGAGG